AAAAATTTTAACATTTAATTAGGTAAAAACCGCGCATAGAACCGCGCCTAAAAACCGCGCGTACACTTGTTAACCCCTTCTCAGATGTTTCCGGTAAATCTTCAAAGAAACATTAAAATTAGCTTATTTAATAGAGTAAAACCGCGCATACACTCCAAAAGATAATCAGTCAAAGAAATGGCTGTGGGCAGGTTAGTTTCATGGTCATTTTTACAGCTCTTATAAGCTACACTTTACCCTTCTCAGGAAAATCATCCCTTCCCACTTTTAGTAAAGATATTATTTTACAAAAATATTTGAGTTGTTGGTATCCAATTTGAAAAACATCTATATCGATCGTATTCAATATCGACTTTGATTAGCTACTTGAAAGACTTCGTGTTAATGAAGATTGTTGTGGTGTATTAGCACAGATAATTACTTTCCGTATTGTCTTAAAATCTGACATGTTTGAAAAGAAAGCAAACTGAGAAATTACGAAATAAAAATTCATCCAGGCCTGGGCTGAGATAATGAGAACACTCCTTCATAAGAGAGCTGAATTTCCGCTTAGAACAGATGCAGACCGGCTAGGTTTAAAGGAAAGAAACCCACCGTAGTTGTTCGGTTATAAGGCGCACTCGGCTAAAAGGCACACCCCCAACTTGGCAACTCAACTGTGTCATGTTGACAAACTCAAAATATCACGGAAATACTTGGTTATAAGATGCACCGTAAACTGAAGAGAAAAAATTTATTTTGTTACAATACCATTTCCTGTTTTTCCAATTAACTTGAAAAAAAGCGAAAGAATCATGTATTGATTCGAGTTAAATTAACAAACGCAAAATTGTCGCACGCGTACAAAAAAAAGCAAGCTTGCACTTGATTGAACAAAAACCACATACATAAAAGTCAATTACCAACATTGCTTGTCCTTGTTATTAACTTAAATAGAAATAACATAACCTATAACCGAAAAACTACGATAATATAGTCAGCAGAGTCTGTAAAGCTAAGTTATTCATTCTAATTTGGTGAGTGTGTATGAATCACAAGGAGGCTATGCATGCAAAGACAGAGAGAGAAAGGGTGAGTCACTTTCACCTCTTACTTTTTAAAAGGTCTGGGAAACTTAAGTCACTGAGCGTATTTTAATTCAGTAACATTTGAATGTAAACCTACTGATCACTTGTAATTTCACGTAAACTACAATTTAAAACCAAAGTTTAAATCGTTAAAAATGAAAATAACGATAAAAAAGTTTTAGAGATCTAATTGCTAAGTAAGCCGATGATAAACACACGTTTACGAAGTCAACCTTGTCACTTCATCGATTTCAAATTCCTGAACGCGTATCACACATAGGAAAGATACTCATAAAAGGATGGAGGCTATCCATTTAAGGATAAGAATGCAAAAGAGGCGGGAGCCATATCAATCTCCCGTTTTCATAACCCTGAGGGACTTAAGTCACCAAGCGCAGTCTATTTCCGTTGGAAATATTGCACATTAAAGAAAGTTAAAATAGTCTATAAAGGAAATATTACATATCGAATAGTTTTTAGAGACCTTTAGTTCCTAGGTAAGCTGAAACTATAAAGCATTTCAAATGAATTGGAATTTTATTGTACTGCAT